GAGCTCCCTAATCATTGACGTGAGTAATCTTGAAGCTTTGTGTGTGTTTTGCAAAATAGCCTGGCAAACAGGCAGAAGAAAATAAAGCAAAGTAATTTTTGTGCCATCTCTGAAAAAGAAAGAAAACCCTACAAAACCTACGTACAAAGATTTGATTGTATCTTTTGTTATTTTTTAATTACAGTAATGTTTTAGAAGAAAATATGTGCCTGTTATAAATTGATGTAAATTTTTTGAAGCCAGTGGCATCAGTTCACAGTAGTTAAGATGTGACATTTTTCTCTTGCAAGCTCCCTGTAGCAAGAAATAACACTTTTGGATTTGGATTTGTTGAATTCAGTAACACACTCTCACAACTTTAGAATACACCGTGGAAGCAAATGCATTCTTGTGTTACCAGACAGGCCTACTTGGATATCTAGGAATGTAATAGCTCCAGCTGCAAACACACTTTTACTACCTGCTCAAGTGAGAGAGAAAGAGGTGCATATATTTTTATGCATAGATGCATCCATATTTTTGAAAACCTGGAAATCCAGGGGTTTTGTGAAGTACTCAGTAAAATGCATATCAAATGCAAAAAAAAAGCTATTGCTAAAATTTCTCTAAGTAAATTGTCTCTATTTTTTTTATTTTACTTGGTAACCATGGATGATTGGTGGCTGCGTATGAACAGATACACTTTTGAATGTAGTGAAAAAAAATTTATAACTATGACAAAAACAGTTTAATACAAGGTTATTGTTAGATGCTAAAGCCAATGCATGAATCCAACCTCATTACATTAATTTATGATACTTAAGAACAGTTAATGTGTTTTGGTTTATTTGTTATTGGTTTGAGCAGATGGCAATGGTTTTGACACAATTCAGTTTTTTATTTTTCTTCTTTTCTTTTCTTGAAAAAGACAAGGCTCTTTTTCCCACTTTGTCACAGCTGGTTACCAATCAATCTCAATTCACGGTACAGTGATGATAGCACATGTTGTTCAGGGGCCAAATCTGATTGGGTTGCATTTTCAGCAGTGTTTCGTATCAAAAAAAAATTGTGTCTGAATGGCAGTGACTGTCAGCACACTATTGTACAACTGTCATTAATCAAAACTAGCAACAATGAATGCATTCGTATGTGCCAGAGACTGCCAGATTTCACTCAAAATCACCCAATTTCTATTAGAATTTCCTCACCAGCACTGTTTTCTCATCTGCTTGTTGTTTCTCTGTTTCTTTCTTCCTTTCCAGTCCCCTGCCCCACCTGCCCCCTTCCTTCTCGGTTCATTAAAGGCAGACCTGCTCTAACTATTACTTGTAGAACAGAAATTATGTAACATGGTGCCCAGAAGTGGCTGGTTTATATCTAGACACAGGCTGAATAGCTGTTTAAAAGACCTCTCCCAGCTCAGTCTGATGGCTGAAGTCTAAGTTGAACTGAAAGGTTAAGCACCTCCAAATGTTTAACAAAGAGAAGTACTTACAATCAATTAGATGGCCATAAACACGTGAAACTGATGTCCGATGCCCTATGTTGTTAGCTGAATGTTGGCATTAATTGGCTGGGAGTCAGCAATATTTGGGCAATATGTCAGAAGGTGTTTCTTGACACTGCACATACTTGGAAGGCATTGCAGCCTTAGTGCGCTGGCAACGTTAAGGACCAACTTAACCAGTACGTTCTAGTTTTCTGCCATTCTATCATTGATCTAGGAGTCTGGTCACCTCTCTCTGTGATTGGTGTTAACAGGCAGAGAGGCCCTGATCCTAATTCTCAGGTGTTCAGTAGCACTAATCCAAATGAGAACTAACTTCTCCAGAAACTCGTATGTAAACATGTTGATACGAGAATATGAGGCTCTGGGATAGAGAGGAGACAAGACTCTGTTCAAGACTGTACAAGTGGGTCTTCAGAAACTGAAAATGTATTCAGGCGTCACTCCTTGTTATTTCATGGTCGCTTTCTCATGCAAGTTCCTCATGCTGCTGTGGATCATGCTGAAAGCCAGTTTTCTTCCTTTCTTCTTCCTGCCTGCTTCATCTGTCAATGCTCTTCACTGAACCATGATGACTTCTGGGGACAATGTAGGTGGAACAGATGACTGAGGGACAACATATCAGTACCTCAGGAAAGCAGATGGTTATAGTGTCCCATGGGTCCACCTAATTGCTAGATGGCACGTTCTGTCAGGGCAGTCCTAAAACCCACCGTGGCATCGTTGGAGCTGCAGACTGGGAGAGCTGCACATCTCCTTGAAGTAGCTGATAGCCACACGTTTACACCACTCTCCGTTTCATGACCCAAGTGGGAGACGATGGCTGTAGCCCTCCGCTCTGCGTCCTGGCATGCCACACAGCTGGCTCGTTCCCCCAGCAGCCTTTGCACAATTTGCATGATTGGCAGGTGCAAACACAAAGAGTGCCGAAGCTTGCGAGGCAGCTGGCTGGCATGTCCACACCAGCACGCTGGGGAGAGAAGGAGGCCGAGTCAGCTGCAGCCCACAGCGGAGCGGAGGGCCTTGTCCCAGGCTGCCTGTGTCCCAGTTCAAGCAGCCACTCAGTCAGATGCAGTCCTGCTGCCTGTCTGGTTTGGATTCGGCAGCTGTAAGTGAACCATGGGGATGCTATTTGTCCAAAAAAAACCCCAAACAATGAAATTAATGGCTAATTGTTGCCTGGCTTTATAACTATGATTCCTATATCCAGCTCATATTTATATTACAACTGATTTTAGTTTTCTCGTGTTACAAGAGCTGAATACAGCTTGATACTTTTCATCCCCTGGAGTTGCCCTCATGTCAAGAAAATAAGTATTTTCTCTTGTCTGCAACAATGTGGTCACCAAAGACAAATAACTGCTCCATCATTGTGGGATACTGTTGTCATATTCTTGAGATTTTTAAGGGAAACAGTTTACCTTTTCTTTTTTATGAAAACAGTAATTTCTATTTGTCATTGACTTGTGCAGCACAGCATGCAAAATGACTTAATTGGTGAGCAGTTGAGAAGTGTTCCTCAGCTGCATATAGTTGTTCAATATAGTTACAATAGATCTTTACTGCTCCAGAAACTACGTATTAAATTCTCTAGCATCATAATTTTCCCACCCACACTAGCAAAAATACTGACCCTTAAAGTTTCTGAAGTTTGCCACCTCATCTACTTATTCCTTGCCTTGGCATATCTCTTACTCATTAATTAAACCTGAGGTACTGCACATACGTATAACGAAGTGTAACTCCTAACCAAAGAGGTATTGTATGTGTTTATGTTTGTCTCTGATTGAATAGTTAGCCTCTGCTTGGTCTTTTTTAATTTATTTTTTTTGCTAATGAATAGAATTAACATACTGAATATAGAATGAATCTGTACTGTATTGTGATGAGTATGGAAAAATTTCTTGACTTCTCTTTATTCTTGGAATTGCTAGTAATGCTCTAATTGATGTGAGCTTTAATCAAACATAACAGAATTTTAAATGTTCCAGCGTAAAGGAACCTTTGCGTTAAGATGTTTTAGAGTCTGTTAGTAAACAATGCTCTCTCTACAAATATATATGTATCATTTTATATATATTATTATACAAATATATGTAATATTATATATATATAATTTTACAAATAGATATATATTTCCTGTACTAAAGGAACCAATAGCAATGCATATTATGTACACAGAAATAAACGTTTCGGATTCCCAAAGCATTTAAAAATACTCAGACCCTCACGACATTCAAGTAACTAATTACATTACATTCTTATTCATGAAAACATTTAAGGATGCTCTTCCATATGATTTCAATACATTTGCTGAACAAGCCTACCAAGACTTCACTATATGAAAAGAGAAGATAAATTAGTTCTTCTGAAGTTATGTCATGAGTGTGTATACAGTGAGAAAGTGTACAGATGTCTCCTGAAGTCTCAATCTTTCTTTAGTTTCATGTTCTTGTTTCACTATTTGATACATGAGAATCTGAAGTTAACGTGAGATTCAAAGGGATTTAAGGTATCATGGGTTAGACATAATATCTAGAATGAATGTTATTGAACATAATTTTCCAAGAGAATATTTCAGGAGTAATATGTCCGTGCTGAAAAACAGGGTTTTCCTGACTTGGGAGCCAGAGAAATTTCATACAAGATGAAGTCTACCTTTGCCTTCAGTGAGCTTTGGATCAGAGCCTAAAATAGTTTGTTAAGCATGACTTCCGCAGGATAATAACAACTTAACTGGAGGTATTTTTATATATGTAAGCACTTTTAAGTCCCTTGAGAATGAATGTGCACTGTATGCAGAAGTACTTTTTATAATTTCAAGTTTTATACATCCTCATAGTTTTAGAATCGTTACAACAGTAGAAGCAAACAGGCAAAGCATAACTGAATTGTTTATAGTTGCTTGTAAGAAAGAGAAAATGTTATTGTCCACCTTTAATGAATTGTTTTGTAGTATTTCTGTGAAATTGATAAATCTCCTTTAATGTGCCTCCTCAATAAACATCACCTTCCCGAGCTTAAATATATTTTTTATTGTTTGTAATTGTATAGTGTCAGATCTTACCAACATGTTTACAGTTTCTCTAAGGAGTTGCTGCTAGAGAGAAAAAGTATAATAAAGGGAATTTTCAAATCAGCAAAAGGTAGAATGTGTAGCTCTCATGGTTAAAGGCATGATAAACCTGAGCTGTCATGTATTGATAACTGATGTCTGATAGCTTAATTTTATGTTATTGCTCTAGATCAAGGACAAAGTGAATGATATTATTAATAAAGCCCTATTAGTGAGTGAACATAGCAATACTAATTTTATGTAAAGTTTCTAACTAATGCAGAGTGCAATAAAAATGTCATGAAGATTAATGCTTGGTGGAATTATCTAATGCTAGATAATAATTTATCTTCCAAAGTTGGCTCCAAGATAGGTTTGGACTGGCATATTCCAGGTGAGAGTTTTTGTTCATTTTTCTGTTTTCTACAGAAAGAGTTTTCATTCTCTTCTGTATCACAGGTATGACATCAAAGATGACTACACTTTGCGCATTAAGAAGGCCATGAGCACAGATGAAGGAACCTACACATGCATTGCTGAGAATCGAGTTGGGAAAGTGGAAGCCTCTGCTACCCTCACGGTGCGAGGTGAGTGTTCCCATGGAGGGAGGGCTTGTGTCTTATATGGATAAGTTGCTTTCTGACAAGATGGACCACATACTTACCTGGCGCTGTTTGGGCTTCACGTACCCTATGCAGTTGCAGGTGCTGCACTGATTTACAAGAGAAATGAGATCCTGGTCCTGTTGATATTTCAAGCAAAATTTTAATTGACTTCAATAGGATAGGATCTCCCTGCTGTTCCAATGGGTTTTTATTGAAGAACAGATGCATTTATGTGCATAAGCAAGCTCTACATAAACATGGGTATAGACTAATATGTGAGCCATCAGTGTAGGCTATTATTCATGTTCCTTCAGTATAAGGAGTATAGTAAGTAACTGTGTTTATTAATGTCAAACATAATACAGATAGTATTATTATGTGATTAGCTGTGCCATAATTAAACTCTCTACCATTACTCTTTATCTGAAAGATAAACCTTAGCCAAAGGAAAAGGAAAATCCTAATTAAATTTTGTAATTATTACAAAGTAAAGACAAACATATTCTCTCCTAAAATATTCTTCATCTTTAGTATCCACTCAGTGTTTATGTGCTGCTGTTTGATGTGGTAAGGAGGTTTTAAGACCAGCAGAATAATGAGTTGCCAAAATGTCTTTTGTGACAGTAGATGTAGGCATGCTAAAGATTATGGGGAGAGAAAAAGTTTACAGGCTAATATTTCCATACGAGTAAATAGAATATAATAGTTTTTACTTCATTCCAAAAGATAAGCAGCAATTTGGCACAATGGGTATCGTAAAGACACTATTTCACAGTTTAGTGGTGCATGCTGATGGTTTTCAGTAGAGCTGTGAAAGGTTAATAAAAACATTTTTAGCTTTATCTGTTCTCCTCTTTTCATACACATTAAATCAAATGTTCAAAGTCTCAATGGATTGCTTTATTAGAACTGGGGTCAACTGACCCAAGAGGCCAGCTTCCATTTCCATCCATTTAATGCATGGACACAGTTCAGTTTAATTTGCTGAATTCAAAGGGAAAAAAACACACCGAGGGCTTTGTGAAGGGGGGAAGATGTTAGTGTATAACAAAGAAAAGCGAATATTGTGATAATCCATCTGCTAGAATATTACCTCAGTGTTCACTTTAGACAGTAAGTGATAATGCAGCTCTTGCCATTTTAAGCTGAAGAAATAGGCTTACCTGCTGCCGGCTTGTGTAAGAGATTGTTCTTCTGTTTTGTAACGTGAGAAGACTAGTCACTATAGCAAACTCCCAGAAATAATCTCACTCTGTTTTTCACAGGCAGAATCATGTATCCAATAAATCTGGCAACCAATTCAATTGTCTTTGAACACTCCTAGAATTGTGTCCACATTGTACATTGCTGGAGCAAGCCTTTCAGATTTGCTATGCATATCTGTGATATAAACAGTAGCTAGAATGAAGCAAAATCTCCTTTGAAATTACTGAAGCTTGAACCTGATGAAATTAAATTGGGAAAAAAAACCCCAAACAACAGAGGAAATATATAATTGAATTGATTTTCCTACAGTAAAAGCAGATTTGCATTATCTTGGGTATTTTTCCCCTCTGGATTTGTCATTTAGAGTCAAATACGTAGTGTTTATCCAACGCAAAGGAAGTCACGACATTATAAGCATATTAAATGTTCAGAATATGACAGAAAATGAGAAAAAAACCCAAGAAATTAAATGGAGAAGACTTACTCTGAATTTTCTGAAAACAAAGGACTTGGCAAACTCCCATTGACTTTAAAGGGACCACAAACAACAGTCTTTTTAAAGGAAGCCTTAATTCTGAATTCTTAACATTTTCCCAGTTTTGTCTGAACCTGCTTTTACTGTAACCACTTGTCATGTAGAAGAGCAACACCACAAACTTCAGTATCAAGGGTGCCTTGGTCCTTACAGGTGTCGTTTAGCTACAGTTGCAAACCTGACAACAGCAGCCCAGTCCTTAGCTCCATCCCTCATTCGTGGCTCCATCTGCTCAATGCAGGGCATGAGGATGCTGTCAGGAAGTTTGTGCTACGCTGTCACAAACAAGAACAGAATCTGAATTCTGTGACTCAACCTTCATACCCTCTTTTGGAAAGATGTGGATGATTCTTACTCCTCATCTTTCTCCAGAAGAACGGATATGCCCATAATACTAGAAGCCAGAAACTCCTCAAATAAGTGATGGGTGAGAAAGGGCAGCAGGCTCAAAATAGTTAAGTGAAGTGGTTGTACTGAAGTACGGATAAAGCCTTAAAAGGTTGAGAACTAAGAAGGTCCTGGTATGCTGTGTTACCGCTGAATCTGCATATCTCGCATTTAAACCCAGCCTGCACATAAGCACGTAGAGCTGGTTAACTTCTTGAAAAGATAAACACTCCCCCCTAAAAAAAAAAGTGTCGATGCTCAGAAATGTATAACTACTGCAGCTAAAATAAGGGAAGTTTCACCTACACAGATGCAATCCCTAGTCATTTTTACGTCCAACTTTTCAGCTCTTCTGAAAGGGGATGTCTGTATTTTATTAGCAGAGGGTCTGACAGCCCTCTTCACCAGCACAAGTACAATGAAGGGCTGTTGCTATAATCAAGAAATCACTTGTTGCAGCAGCAACTTTCAATCTTGATATCAACCCGAAACAATATTAACCTGTCGATCATTTAGCAGCAATATTTTTTAGGAAGTAGAAGTTACCTAAGTGGTAATTGAGGGGTTCTAGGTTGAAATCCCTGCAGCCATTTCAGCCTGTTTGTTATATTTTCATCAGCACTGTCAGTGAGGGAAGAGGAGTGTGCTGTAAGCTTTCATGCCTGTTACTGAATGAGAAAAACTGTCCTGGGCTTTGTGTAGCCCTTTCTGCTGTAATGACTGGTCATACTTAAAATTCAATTGGTATTTGACTCAAAAAGCAAATGCCTCGCATCCACTGGCATGACATTTGGCAGTCTATGGCTTAAATTGATGTGTTCATCGGGATCTAAAAGTTTGTGCTAATGCAATGCAATTTTTCTTTTATCAGGCATTAACAATGATACTTGATGATGGCATGTGAAGATAATAAAAGTGTTTCTCAAAGAATGGTTCCAGTCAGCTTGTTCAGATGCTATGCTCAAGTAAATGTGATAATAGTGGCACGTGACTAAACAGTAACAACAGTAAAAACTTTACTTAGGCTGTCATTTGAGGGGTTAGCAGTCATGGTAGTATCCATAGTGGAAGGTAACATTACACGTCATGCATTCTGACAGATATTCTTTTCTTTTTTTAATTTCTTTTTTATGTTCTCACTACACCATTGTAATGTCAACAGCTCGCCCTGTTGGTAAGTAACCATCCTTCTATCCATTCTAGCATGGCTTCATGCAGTGCTTCATCTTTCATTTGCAACTGCATTTAGCTGGCTGAAATTAGCAGCCAGTGCTTAATAGCTTTAACTGTCTAACACCAGGCAAGTGATTCTGACTGACATAATTTCTAAACTTCTCTGCTCTGTCATGTATAAGTGCATTTTCCAAATCACCAACAAATACCAATCAGCAAAACGAAGTGAGTGTGATGATACTGAGCCAAAATCACTCATTCAGATATTTTTAACAGTCTGTTTAAGGGCCTGGTATAAAAGCCATTGAAATCAACAGAAAGAATTGTATTGACTTCGGTGAGCTTCTACCAGGCCCTAAATGATCCGCTCATTATGCTTTTATTGCATAGCAGTAAAAGCACAGGCTTTGCATGTCCCTTCTTTCTTGTATCTTTGAAAGAGCCATGAAATGAAGTAGTCCTGAAATTGAAGAGAGGATGGAGTAGATTTCCGTGCTTGTTAACAAAGTTCATCATTGGTTTTTGCCCTTGAGTCATCTTGGAGTGCATTTTGGAATGCACTGTCTGGGATGTAGACTGTTTGGAATAACAAGTCCAGAGGAAGACAGCCTCTGGGTTTTTAATTCCTGCACTGAAAATTTGATTTTTTTCCCTATGCCTTTGAAATTACTTCTGAAATTTATAAAAATCTAATCCAGCATAGTGGGAAATTTGCAACTGTCAGTAGCTGAAATTCACTTTTGGTGTTCAGAAATGTCCTGAGTGTATTGTTATGTTATTTTCTTTCACGGATGTTTACTCTGTGCCTGTGTGGATTTTCTAAATAATTTAACCAGTTGCAATGCTCCTCTGATTTTTTGTACTTTGTGTTTAGATGTATCTTTAAAAATAAAAATTTGATTACTCTCATTTTTTTGGATTAGCGTGAAAAGGCGGTGCTGGTGTTTATGGAGATTGATGAGGGGCTTGATCTTCCTTTATTTAGTCAGAACTTTTGTTAGATATGTGTTTGTCTAAAGTTTGAGAGTTTGAAATTGCCTCAGCTCTTCACAGTTATGAGTTTAGGGGAGGAAAGGTTGGAATAATTTAAAGATAAAATCCAGGTTAGGCCTCTGTTTCCAGAACTAAGGTGATCCCATACTTATTAGATTGCTTGAACTAGCATATGTAGACAAGTCAAGTACCTATGCAGTCATGGTTTGACTTATCCACACCTGAAGAATTTCCTATGCAGAATTGAAATTCACCATTCTTCATTTGGGATTTTGGTAGGAAACTTTAAATTCCAGTCACAACTATATTACATTGATATTACACTAGTTCTCAAGAAATTAATTCCTAGGATTCGTAACTGTAAAAGTGGAGTAAACTCATACGAAAATTTTTCTCTTCTTAGAAAATATGCTATGAATTTAGTATTCTTCTAGTATAAATCTCTCATGTTAGAGAGCAGAGGGATTGTGACTGTTTCTTCATTCACTAAGAAAATGCTACAAGATTAAAATTATTTTCTCACTTTGCTTCCTCTTAAAAGAAAGGCAAGGAAAAAAATATCACAAAGTGGAGACTGTTCCAGGCTCTGTGAAAGCCATATAAAATAGATCATTGGATTTTCACGAGAAAATTATAGGCTTTCAGCAGTGTTGATAGTGTGTCATTTCAGAACACAGATTTTTTTTTTTTTAAGGCTTTTGAGGCCATCGAGTCATCTGTGATTCCATCTCTGAACTTATACAGCAGCTCTTCTCAAGTTAAGTTATGTCCAGATATACGATCCCCTTGTGTGACCATGCCATGGTCAGTTTGGTATATTCCCTGCCTACACTATTTTATTTTACTGCAAATGAACATCTGAGACAAGAAAAATCTTCTTTTACTTGATTTATTCAGGAAACATAAATTAGAATCGTTGACCTTAATTATTATATGGGCATATGGTCTTTATCAAATTATTTAATTTAGTAATTACCTTTGTGAATTGTGAAAAGAATGTTGAGTAAATAAGTCCAACCCCAGAGATATTTAACATATAGAACTCCCACACAAGAGTGTATGTAGTTATTGTTGTGTATAAGCAGATCAGTTTCTTCAGGTCGCATTTATCTGATCCTGCACCTTAGAGACAGGAAGCTAAAGCAAACACTGCTTAATGTTATTAAGCTCATAGGTGGCTAGGAGGATGACATTAACACAAGTATAACAGAAGTATTTATATACTTATGTATGTGTTAAACTGCAGAGGAGCAGTTTAAAAGTTTATATGCTTTTGGGACACCTGAAAATTATCTAAGTATCTCTTCTTGTTGTTACTACCTCCAATTCAAAGCAGTCATGTCTGTGTTGTGTTTTAAACAAGACCAAAGCATTTTCTTTCAGTGGCTTGACACTGAAGAATATGGATGATCTTTAATGGTGCAGGATTGCAATTCCTTTTGCAAACAGAATAGTTTTCATTTTCTGTTAAGTTTTTCCCTAGTTTGAATATATGTATTGTTAGTTGTAATATTCGTATTTAAATTTCAGCTTGAGTGGAAAATTCAGGAGTGGGATTACCAATGACCATATTTGGTTCAAGAAGTTGTTAACATAGGATATGCACTATATAGACCAAATGAAGTACGATTCTGCCTGAGGTGGATGGTAGCTGGTGAATTTAACAGCTGTATCCCGTAGTACTCACCCTGTTTGAATTTGCTGCTAGGAATAAATGTGTTGGCCATTTCTCTTATTTGTAACTTCTTGAAAATATTTCCAACATTTATAACAGATGAGTATAGGAAACAAGACATTTATCCTTATTTTGACTATTTCTATCGTTATTTCACTCATTAGATGGATTTTCCAGATGAGCAAGTTAGTATTTCTCACTTTCACGTTCTGCTGTTTCTTATGGCAGCTGAGCAGGAGAATAGCTGCTAAAAGAAGCACAGAAGTTGGGAGGAGCCCAAAAGTTTCATATAGTCCCACTGAAAGTAACACTGACTCTCTTTTCAAAAGCAGTTGCTATACTGCTTTGAGACAGAGGACCTTAAGTTCAAATAGAAGATCTATGAAGATCTGATCATAGAATCATAGAATGGCCTAGGCTGGAAGGGACTTCAAAAATCATTTAATCCAACCTCCCTGTCAGGGGCAGGGACGCCACCTTTCGACTAGACCAGCCAACATGTGGGGACCAAGCGGGAATCGAAGCCTCAACCTCAGTGTTGTCATTGTTGTCAGCGCTGCGCTCAACCCACTGAGCTAACCAGCCCCGTTATATTTCAGTTACCTTTTTACTAATCATCCAGAAAGTCATTCAGATGAGAGTGCTTAATTTTCAAATTAATTTCAACTACATCCAAGTGGAAATACAGTTATTTGTATTTCAATTGACTTGCAGTAAGTCGTTTGCTTAATTTGTCATATTCTATGTCTCATCTTCCCAGAAAGAAGCGACATGCAGCAAATAGCTGGATACTTTTGCCACCTAGATAGAAACAAAGTATTTGAATTTAACTAAGGAAGTAAAGAGAGTCCAACCAAGTTACAAAAACTTCACTTCCCTGCCATGGTGGAAAAGAGAGAAACAGATAAGACACCTGCCATGAACTTTTCAAATTTCACATTATCTAAATACAATCTATTGACATTTAAGTGCAATGTGACTGTATGATGCATTTCACTCTGCTCTGGGAAGTTTTCATAACATAAATTAGCCTGGCATGACTTAATGGTCTATTAAGAGTGATGCAGCATGAAGCTTTTAGAGGAAATCCAGTGGCAGCAAGTGCAGAAAGTGATCAAGTGCCTCATTTTATTTTTTTTTAACTTTTCTTTTATTGCTGAACTTTAGCTTAGGAAAGTTTTTAAAAGTTCAATGTCTATATCTTTTTTGCCTTGCCCAAAGCACACTCAAATCAGTGGGAATTGTTTTCTTACTTCAGTGGATTCTGAGTCTCTGCACAAGTCTTTGAAGATAAGTGTATGAAAAAATCTTTTCATGTGTTGCTTCCTGCAAACTTTTCCCTTCCTTTTTCCTCAAGGAGAAATTGCTTACTTTTCCTTCAGGAGGAACATGGAAATCAATACATAATCTATTCACTTCTCCCATTACCTTCTTTGCTCTGTTGCTGCTAGCCATATGGCAGTTTGGATGTAATCTCAGTATTACTCCACAGCAAAACTACTGTATGCCTCACTCCTTGAATGCCAGCATTGTCAGTCAGCATAAATAGTCTTTTTTCTTCCTCACTTCTTTTCTTCTCTTCACTTAACAGTGGCCCAAATCGAGCAGATTATATCCTCTCAGCCTTTTTTATTCTCAAGGGTAAACAAACCAAGAACATGTCATCTTTCTCACTGTAGATGTAACCATTAGCCTATCTAGGTTTTTTTACCCATCATCTCCTTAGCTCTTCTCTTCAGCATGTGAATTCACGGTTTCTTGAAGGGGACAACCAGATTACACTCATTTTTTGGATGAAATCTTACTGTATTAGCAAGGGGTATGCTTTTCTTTTTTAAACACATTACCAGCAAACCCTCCTGCTGTCTCCCACGACAAAAGAAATCGTGGCAGATTACATGTCTTTTTGTTGGCATAATTGGTTTTGTTTGCTAAACTCACAGAAGGCATGGTAGCATGAGCCATCGCGTTTACAGTAGCAAGCAGAGTAAAGTGTTAAGATTTTAGGAAAGCACATCTTTTCTATCTGATCTGAGCAAAAGGTATATCCTGAATCTCAGACACTTGAGGGGGGAAAAAAGAAAAAAAGCATTGTCTAGAGTAGAGAGTCATGAGTAATGTAAGTTACTGGGCAGGCAGAAGCAGTGTTACCTCTCTTTATATCCATCAAAACTAAATGAAGGACTTTGTAGAATGGATTATCCAGGAATGTATGTAAGATGCAGACTTCTTAAATGAGATGATTGGACAAGAAATAATAAATTGGCGATGTATGATTAAATGAGAGCAGGATAGAGTCTAATGCTGATGTGAAGTTCAAATCAGATATTTTA